TCTACCTCACATAGAAAGAACTCCGTTAAACACGAATAAATCTACCGTTAAGCATATACAAATCGAACAACTGCAACCAACTGCTGAAAGTCTACCAAAAAGAAATTAAAACCGAACCACTACAAACAGAAATTGGTCGCCGGAAATCGTCTGGGCTCAGTATAAACCGTTCTCGAAAGACGGAACCCGCCGATAATACTTCCCTGAAAAAAAAAAGCAAAGGGTTACGGTTTCTGGGTAAAGGGTTTTCGACTACGAACGAAAAGATGGAGTTCTCTTCCGACGTTAGCGCGAAACCACCATTGAAACCCAAACACAACCGTCGCGAGTAAAACCCAAACACAACCGTCGCGAAAACCGAAGTCAAAACTTGTTCGCGACGAGAAACTAACCCAGACGTCAAGACTTACGAGATGAGTGGCCGAAAAGCTTTCGTCGCCGCCGAAATCGTCTCCTTCGTCGCGAAATCGCCGAAATCGTCTCCTTCGTCGCCAAATCGCCTTTACAGTCGCCGCCGGAGGAGATTAGGGTTTCAGTTTCTATTATTATGTTTTTGTATTTTCGATTTTCGATTATAAGTAATTAAAACGATTATGATTTCTTTTTTTTGTAAAATGTTTTTTTTAAGGTTTTTTAAAATCGAATGGCAATCTGGTAAAAATATTCATTATTTGGACAAAATGGTATAACACCAACTTTCTAAGGTTAGTTTAGTAAGCTGATGAATATGTTAGGCTAAGTTTGTCAATACATTAACCTTAAAGGTTAGTCTGAGGAATTTTCACTTTTATAAACGATAGCAGGTGATGATACAAACATAACTCAAACTTTCAAAGTACACATCAAACGAAGAAATAATTGATATGAAGCGATAATATGAAAAAAAGACAACAAAATTTCTGATATTATTCACGATTGTATCGGTACCAAATGCCACAAGCCACAAGTACTCCCTTGGTATGTATAATGTCTATGTCTTGCATGTATATGTGTATGCATGTAAATATATGTATTTCTGTATGTATGTGTGTGATTTATGTATGTGTATTTTTTGTAATGTATCTGTGGTGTATGATGACATGGTTTTTTTTGGGTGGCAATGGATTTGTAGGATGGCAGCTAAAGGGATGTTTCAAGAAATCAATGCATAGAGAGAAAGAGATTATTAAACACATATAATGCTTTAGTTTTTTTTTCTCATTATATGATTTGAATAAAAAAGTTTGGTTCGGATTATATTGTTCTCGAAAGCCTTTCATATTACACATTTTCTTCGTATCATAAACCTTAGCTTTGTTAGGGCTGAGTCCATATTCAAATATGGTGCGTCCCATTCGAGTTTTCGGACCATCCTTATAAGAATTTAGAGAAACTTCATTTCAACAATCCTAACATTGGTTAACTCTTCGCATCCAGTCTAAGTTTATGCATAAATTTTTGGTGGTACGTAATTGGTAGTCATTTTGGCTATATTTCGATTATTTTTATGTTTTCTCTTCGTTATTAGTAAATGAATATGTAAATGTTATTAATATAAGTCACATCCTCTATAGTCAAATCAGGATATGTAATATATGTAAATCAAATTGCGCATCAAGATTCAGAAGAAGACTCACATAACATCTATGGACTCGATTTTGGACCCTTATTTGCAACCATATGGAAATTGAGATGTCCTCCTAAATTACGACATTTTCTATGGCAATCATTGACAGGATGTTTGGCAGCTGCAAAAAAACTAAACAACAGAATAATCAAATGTGATGCTTAATGTAGTAGATGCGGGACAGATGAGGAAACAATTAATCATGTTTTATTTGAGTGCCCTCCAGCAGTGCAGACATGGGCCTTGTCGAAAATTCCAACACCCCCCTCCCCTCGGGAATTCCCAGGAAGTTCGATTTACTCAAATTTTGATCACTTGTTTTGGCGAATACCAAAAGATATCCCAAAGGAATCTTACCCATGGATAGTACGGTACATATGGAAGGCGAGAAATGACAAACTATTCTCAAATCTGGATAGAGATTCACGAATGACGTTCAAATTAGCGAAAACAGAAGCTACTTTATGGGAGGAAGCACAAAGAATGATAACTGCACCGAAAATACAAACTCATGGACGGACTTTGGAGAGAATTCCCTTTAGGGGGGGGAGGGATGGTGCTCTGTGGATGGTTCTTGGAAAGAGACGGATAAAATGTCAGGTATAGGCTGGCACTGGCGGGAGGAAACAAATGAAACTATAATGGGGTCAAGAAATTTACGGCGGAGTTTATCTTCTTTACATGCAGAAGTAGAAGCACTCCTATGGGTAATGCTATGCATGATCGAAAATCAACGAAGAGAAATTACTTTTACAACAGACTGTTCTGATGTGGTGAAGATGGTGTCGGCACCCGAGGAATGGCCAGCATTTGTACTACAGTTGGAGGAAATCCAGAAATGTAGGGAGAAGCTCCAACATTTCGCTTTGATCCATATACCACGAGCGAAGAATATAAAAGCGGACATATTGGCACAAAGCGCTAGAATCTACCCAAAAAATATGATCTATGTAAACTTCTCTCCACCGGGTTGGTTAACCAATTCAATTTAGGAGAAGAGACTGTTGACAAAAAATAAAAAATTCATATCCTCTATATATGTGCGTAGAGTATGTTAATAAAATTTAGCGATTATAATAATTTCACAATTTTACCAAAATAAACAAAGAAATTTAGATAAAAAAAAATCTATTTTCAAATCAACTAAACTATACAAAAAAAAAACAAACAGATCTCTATTTAAATATATCTATCTCATGTATGATATTACTACTACATTTCGAAAAGATTTTTTTTTTTTTTTTGACATGCTCATGTTAAATTACTCAAATATTTGGATAATAAACCGATCCACGTCGCCTACCGCGAGATAAGCACTAGTTGTGAGAGTAAGTGGAAGAAGAAATCATGACAAAATTAAAAGTTTACAAAGACAGCATGAAATGAATCTACAAATTTGGTGACACGACACCAAATGGTTTAGGTGAGTATTCATGTCAAAATAAAACAAATAGTTGGCTCTAATCCAACAACGCATACTTTAAAACCATAGTGGTTTGACTTACTAACACAAAAACATCTCATTGACTTATAATCAAACACAACAAAAAAAAAACTTTTATAAATAACCGAACCAAACGTAATAGAAACGAGCAAATAGTCCCAAAATGGAACCAAAAGAAACAGAGCCACCTCGAAAACAATTGAGACAGCCACCTTCTGTTCCATTCATTTGGGAAGAACGACCTGGCCTCCCAAAGAAAAACTGGCAACCTTCACTAGCCACCTTCGTGCCTTCTCCTCCTCCGCTTCCACCACCTATACCGGTCCCGGTTAAGCTGGTCACTTCGGTTCCTTTCCGTTGGGAACAAACCCCCGGAAAACCACTACCTTCTTCCTCAAACGACCCACCTCAGCTTCCACATCCGCCACTTGAAACCGCCACAGCTCCTCCGCTACCACCTCCGGTTCCAGTCCCGGTTAAGCTGGTTACATCGGTTCCATTCGTTAGGGAAGAAACTCCCGGACAACCATACCCTTGCTTTGTTGATACAAACCAAACCGAGCCGTTGGATCAACCTCTGCCACCGCCTCCCATGTACGGCGAGGTTGAAACCAACAGCGATATTTACGATGACGCAAGCAGTGATTCCTTCAGCTCTGTACCGTCTCTGTTAACAGGAAACCGGTCGGTTCCGGTATCCGGTGCTGTTACGGTGGATGAATTTGATGAAAATCTGAATAGAGAGACGAGCTCGGTGCCAACATCGCCGGGTTATGAATCTGATGACAGTACGAGCAGTTACATGACGGGAGCTTCAAGCCTTGTTGGAGCTTCGTTCTTGGAAAAGCTCTTTCCACGTCTTCTTCCACACGAAAAGGTCGAAGCTGCTGCTGCCTCTTCTGAGGATCATCTTCAGGTCACTACTCGTACGTTGCATGAAGAAGTAAAGCTTACAACAGCTTCTGATAACATGAACATTGGCTTTCCTGTGAGGACGCCGCAGACACTAGGGGAGCTGATAATGATGAGCCGAAGGAGAAGTTACATGAGAAGAGCTGTTGAAATGAGAAAACACAATCCTTCCAAGGTAAAACTCTCAAAACATCTGTTTTCATACACCACAACTGTATATCTGAATACAATCACGAAAAAAAAAAATGATTCTGAAATGTTTGATACTTGCCTGGATAAACTAGCAGGATTTTACAAGATATGGCGCTGAGAGTTGCTGCCTCTTTGTGCCGGGAATCAAAATGATAGAAGGACTTGAGTGGAAAAAATACCAACCGAGACTGAAGCTCATTTAGAAGAAGACTCTTATAAAAGTTCCTCACAGTTTGCATCCGAAAAGCCGTTGTCTTTTCATAGAAGAAGAAACTTGTAAACTCTATCTGCTGTAAATCGATAAAGTTACATCTTCTAATGCTCTCCAATGTTCTAAACCTCTAACAACTTGGCCAAAAGAATGTCTATCGATAATATAACAATGCAAATACTAACCCAAAATCTGGCTTGAACTCTCAAGATCTTGATGATTCAGCAAGCTTTCTGATCCGTTCCATGATCACTGGAATGTCTTCATCAGCTAAAGCGGTAAAACAACACCGGAACCAACCCGGTTCTATACAATAACAAGCTGTTCCTGGAGTAGCATTAATCTTAGCTACACTCAACAGCTTCTCAAACAACTCGAGCTCTCCTTTCTCGCTGTATGATGTCAGTAAACTGCTCATGTCAACCCAACAATACAACCCGCCACCACTCTCAGCACATGGGATTCCCAACTGTTTCAAACCGTCCACAAACCGAACATGCTTATCTCTGATCCTTTGCCTGTGTGCTGCCATGTATTCCTCGATAAATCTTGTATCTGACAGCAGAGAGATAAGTATCCTCTGAACTGGAACTGACACAGACGAAAACCTCATCAGCTTCTTCGCGGCATTTACAACGTCTTCATGAAAAGAATAGATGACTCCAGCTCTAAAACCAGGTATCGAAAGGTCCTTTGACAAGCCATAGATGATATGAACTCTACTCTTATCGAATTCCCCCGAGCTAGCTACCTCTGCCATGCTAACAAACTCTTTATCCCCGTAAACAGAACCGGCGAAGATTTCGTCGGAGATAACGTGGATGTTTTTCTCTTGAGCAAATCTCAGAATATCATGGAGCGTCTCTCTTGACAGTATGTTCCCAACAGGATTCGACGGGTTTGAGAAAAGGATGCCAGAAACCTTACTTCCTCGTTTTCTAGCTTGATTCAACGCTTGTTCCAGAGCGGAAACCGTTATAGTGAAATTATCGGAGCTTCTGCAGTGTACTGGTATAAGCTCCACTCCTGTCCGGAATTTTATATCCCTATCAAAGCTGCAAATTCAAGTTTCTTTTAGTACATAGGCATCGATAGAGAGACTGCTTGAAGAAACAAAACACATTTATCAGATGAAAAATCGTTTCATTAGTACATAGCATCGATAGAGAGACTACTTGAAGAATCAAAACAAATTCATCAGATAAAAGTTGTTTCTTTTAGTACATAGCATCGATAGAGAGGCTGCTTGAAGAATCAAAACACTTTCATCAGATAAAAATTTACCCTGGATAATAAGGCGAAGGGATAAGAAAAGCATTTCCATGATCTGCCAAGCAGAAGGCCAATACTTCAATAGCAGGAGTCCCACCAGCTGTTACTACCATCTTCGAGGGGTCAAACGACAGATTACCTCCCATTATTCGTGACATGAAATCAGCAAAAGCCTAACCAGTTTCAAAGAAAGATGAATGAAACATGAGAAAGTAGACCTCTACACAAATTTCTGATCAACATTCCTCTTGATCAACCACACAAATTCTCTACTATAGTTTTGCAGCAGCCAAGTCAAATCGAAGTTTATCTACACTTACCACTCTGAGTTCAAGCAATCCTTCGAAAGGTTTATACATAGCGATGCTACTAACATCGAATTCACCATCATCAGATTTCATCATCATCGAATCAATCAAATTCTCAGACATCCATCTCTGGAGCAAGTCAAAGCACAGCTACAAACAAAAATTCACAAAAACAACCAGTCCCCATGAAATCAGATAAAATCAAATCAAGATAAACACAAAATCGAAAAATTCTCAGAGAAACTCACAGTACTCTCAGCCAAACCAAGCTGGATAATCCCATCCCTATTAGAAATCCGATCGTACGGATCCGTCTTGGCTCTCTCCAGCCCAATATAATAAGGCGAATCGGCAGGCTTCGCCACAGGAACAGCTCGAGAAGAGACTCGAACACGTCCGATCGAGTTCCCGCGGGAGAAGAGATTGGACCGCGAAGACGTCCTCGGCAACTCCGTCAGGTCGGAATCGGAAGGAGGAGGGTCAGGAGGAGAACGGCGTCGTTTAAGGTAGAGCTGGAGGAAGTAGAAGAGACAGCAAGGGATAAGAGAGCCGACGAAGAGACCTCCACGGCCTTGAACAACTCCACGGAGAGGTACTATCAGCCTCATCGCTAAACTTGCTCCTCCTCGCCGTTCGTTTCAAGAGTAACGAAAATGGAAAGTGACTTTGTAATTTAGCAAAATTTAGTTTCGCTCGAGAGGATATTAGTAAAATTATGTCTTACGTTTGAAAAGTTTGCAAAATAGCCCTTTGATATCGGTGAAGGTTTCTAAATATTCCTCAAAGTTTTTTCTAAAAAAAAAAAACAATCAAAACACTTTAAACATATCCAATATAAACCAGATAGGAAGTATTCAAAACAGTATAAATGAATAATTTCAAACATTACATGTAACTGTCAATGAAATGTTCCTTTTTGTATCATTTTCTAACTAGATTAGGTTTTTGCACGATATGCAAAAAAATATTTAGATTTTCAAAATGATAATCCATAGATTTAGATTCTTAATTAAAATTTTGTTAAGTTATCTATACAAATGACGTGTCATCATTTCAAAACTTAAAGATTAGAAATTGATTTATATTAATCATAAATCTAATAAACAATCTTTCTAAATAATTGATAGGGTTCCAATATCAATCCAAATCCCATGATTAGACCAAAAGTGTCTAGTATATAAACAAAATGTCCAACAGATTAGTATGAGACTTTTTGGGAATAAACTTAAAAAAAATCCGTGCGGGATTTGCCACTTGGACTCAAAGCGGATAATATCATACTAATATTAAGTTTGAAATGGGCTTGAAAAACCCAATAATTGGTATCAGAACCAGGTTCTAGAAAAGGTGGACATGGATAAGTGGGTGTGGGCTCTGTGTTTGATGTGGGAGAAAAGCCCTCAAGGTGACTTTGTGATTGGGATACCGGTGCCTTGTGTCGAAAGTATTTCCAACGGTGCGCGAAGGGTTAGGTTGGGTGATACAAAATGGGTACCAAGTTTCGCAGAAGGTTGGGAGAGACCACAGGATTGTATGGTTCTTGGCTTGAGGAGAAGATTGTTGTGATATCAATCCAAATCCCACATTGAAGGATTAGACCAAGAATGTCTAGTATATAAGCAAGATGTTCAACATATTAGTATAAGGTCTTTTGAGAAAGAGCCCAAAAACAAATCTGTGCGGGCTTTGCCACTTGGGCCCAAAGCGTACAATATCATACTAATAGGGAGTTGGACATGGGCTTGAAAAGCCTAACAATTGGTATTAGAGCCAGATTCTGGAAAAGGTGGACCTGGATAAGTGGGTGTGGGCTCTTTATTCGGTGTGGGAGGAAAATCCTTAAGGTGACCTTGCGATTGGGGTACCGGTACCTTTTGTTTAACGGTGTGCGAAAGATTAGGTTGGACGATACAAGATGGATACCAAGTTTCGCGGAAAATTGGGAGAGATCACAGGTTTGTGTGGTTCTTGGCTTGAGGGAAGGATTGTTGTGATATCAATCCAATTCCTACATTGGAAGATTAGACCAAGAGTGTCTAGTATATAAACAAGATGTCTAACAGATTAGTATGAAGTTTTTTGGAAAAGAACCCAAAAACAAATCTATGCGGACTTTGCCATTTAGGCGCAAACGCAAAGTAGACAATATCATATTAATGGAGAGTAGGATATGAGCTTGAAAAAACCCAACAAAATAATATCAAAAAGAGATTATGAAACTTCCCATTGAAAAGCATGGAAACATATATCAAACCGTATGATCACATCATCAGAAAATATTTCACTGCGTGAAAGTTGCTGTCGTTTCTCTGACTTAAAGAGATTCGAACCGTTTTTTGAAAATAATAAAAATAGAAAGAAACAGAGACAAACATATGAAAAGTATTGAGATAATTATTAAATCTGTCTTCACCTTTGAAAAGCTTACAAAATAGCTTTTTATATTGGTGAACGTTTTGAAATATCAGAAACTAAAATAAAGCTTCCAGTTTTGTTTACACTATATTAATGCATAGTGCTAAGTGTATGGATTTTGTTGACATAATGATTTTTTATTATTAATTATTACTATTTTTTACCTTAATTTTCTTGTGATTTTAAAAGTATCAAAACTAAAAAAAACCCGAAGACAAAATCATTTAAAGGGTTAGAAGTGGACAGTCAAAGAAAATTTTTTGAAGCTCCACAACCTTAAAAAATGTCATCAAGAAATGTCATCAAGAAGTGGCATCAACAGATAGAAATCAACTCTGACCCAAACTCCCACGACCAAGCCAACAGTTCACCTATACAATACTATATATGTGGATTCTATCACTTTACCACCCTAGTTACATATCAATCATTAACATATATTGATTAGCTTAGGAATATCATTTGTGCATGTTTAGGACATATGTTTATTTCAATATCAATTTTAAACATGTGATTCACATTTCAATAATTTTTATGCAAAGTAGAAACTCAAACGCTCTCATATTCAATAGTACTTTAGACAAACCAAAAAATTTAAATGACAATCATTTTTTGGTCAAAATATGTGTATTTTTTTTTTCTAAAATTTACAAGATGAATTTTAAAATCAGAACTCTAGAGTCAATATGGCTTCGATGAATCATTGGATTAATTGTGGCTTTATTTTAAAAATTGAGTTAATTACAATTTAAAGACATTCTTTTTGATGGTATGTTTCTTGGTCTATCATCTTGGTGGTTTATAATTCATGTAGCTAGCAATTCATTTTTAATTTAATATTTTATATTTTTGATGATGTGTATTTTTAAGACCATAAAAAATCTGATAGTAGAAGGGTTTGTTGTTAAACAAAAAAGATAATAGAAAAAACAGGGCGGTAGCTTCACTCGCCATGGGTTAGAGCTGGGACTGGTGCCAGCCTTTAGTGCATGGAGGTATCTCCATGAACTCGTCAAATTCCTTCACATGAACATCGCAGCATTTCCACTGCACAGAAACAAAAACATCGATACTCAACACAAATTTAAACAAAAAGTTTAAAGAAAAGGGTCGATGATCAGCAAAGAAAGGTGTTACGTACCCCTCTCAGTCTGTCGTGGAAGACCGCAGGACCTGGATGATAGCTACATGCAGTCTCGTGATTGTCTCTCTCTTTGAATGTTTTGCCACATCCTTTGTTTTTGCAGACTTGCGGTTTGTTAATGTCTATAACAACCTTTTTGATTGGAGGTGGTGCTAAGGATTCAATCTCTTGTTCTTGTACTTGTACAGGTGTGTTCAGGGTCTGCTTAATCTGTTCTTTGGGTTGGGAACCTGGCGTGGTAGGGGAAAACGTTAGATTAGAGATTTGTTGCATGCACCAGAGGAAAGAAAAAATATAAAACCGGGAAGAGAGTGATTTTTACCAACCATGGTCTGAGCAGAAGAAGCCTTGGCGGCACCTGGAGCAAGAGTCTTTTGTTGATGCATTGGCATCTGGAGATGAAGTAGGAACCGAAACAGGTTGTCTAGGAGCCGGTTTGGCCAGAACTGGTTTCTCAGTTGTGTGTTTACCAGTTTTACATCTTCAATACAAGAAATCGGAAACAATTTGTTAATGTTTGCAACCAACCACAACATGTATAGTTAAAAATGGTATTGACTTATGAGGAGGTAACAAGGATATCAATACCCTGGAATCTCCAAGAACAAACTGAAATCATGACTTCTTTGCTTGCAGCAGCTCCACTCTTTCATTCCGTCGTGAAAAAACGGCTGCGAGTTTGAACATTTCTAGCTTTAATTCTCCGAGCTGATAAGAGTAAAACTTAAATACAGTACTTAAAGAGTAAATATAACTTACTCCCTGCTTGAGTTAAAACCAGTAATCAGTGAGAAACCAAGCCCAGCCACACCGGAAAAAGAAGAAGAAGATGTCAAGTTACAACGAAACCTCCAAGCAATATATGAAAATGAATGACACTATTCAAATCCTAAAGGTGAATATGTCCACAGCACGTTAAGCTACTAGACGGTGCCAAAACCCAAAAGATGCATAATACTTGTTGCATTCTCTATTGTAAAGATTGTTCTATGAAACCTCTAAGCCAGATGAAAATGAAAGATACTATCTAAACGCTAAGAGATGAATATGTTCACAGCAAGAATAGGTCGAAAGACACGTTAAGCTATACTAGATTGTGCCAAAACCCAACACTTTGTTGCATTCTCTATTGTAAAGATTGTTCTATAAACCTTTCCAATGAACGAATCTAACGAGCACTCCAATCTCACTAAATTCAAAGGTTGCAAGTGAACGATTAGTTTGAAAATCGATAGTGGAGGACTAAAGCTGTGTATTCAAGGCTTTACACCTAATCAACATGTCAACAACAGCTGATCAAAACCTAATTGACCACTTGCATGTATCATCTGCTCGAGATTTCAAAATCATCATCATAAGCTGAAATTGGGAACCCACAAATCGTAAAATCCACAATTCAGAGTTCACAGAGCTAGCTCCCCAAAGAAATTTATGAATAATAAAAACCCAAAACGATGCGAATGCATCAGTTGATTTGAACAAATAAGGAGGATTAGCATTCGTTCGTCAATTCGATTGGAAGTTTTTGCAGAAGACTTACAGAAGCATGAAATTGACAAGAACCCTCCGTATTGTCTTCATCGGTGAACATGGCGTTGCATCCAATACGTTGACATTGAAGCTTCGTTGCAGCAGATCTTACTTCCATTCTCTCTCTCTCGTGAAATCGAGAAGAAAAAAAAAACGCGGAGAAATTTCAGAGAATACTTCAGGAAAAAAAAAAAGAAAGAAGAAGAAATAGACTAACACGGAATATTTAATAAAATTGTACTTTTTCATATTAAGGTCGAATATTTATCATATGTTGACCCCAAAAAAATGGTCAATTCCCACAAGGAAAAGGAAAGGGAGATCTAATAATACAATCATTAATCACATCTTGTTCTCCACCAAATTTCTAGATCCTCTGTATCTTTCATTTATAAGTTTTATAATTACAAAAGGGAGGATGACATTGTCCACAAGAAAAATAATCTAAACCGTTCATCAAGGTACGTCTTCCTCGTATTTAGCCCTAATGACATCCACGCCAATGATGTTCTTCGGGAGCATCATCATTTGTTGAGCTACCTAACCAATCACACGAGTACCAAAGTTTAGTTTACAAGTAACTCATCTATTGTATGGCTTATCTCTGCCAGGTTTCTTAATCCAAACAAGAAGACTACTGATTTGGCCACTTATAGTCTGACACATGGTTCTTCACTGTTAGCAAGCCATGCCTCGATTGATTCTTGATTTATGGTAATCTCCAATTTCCAAAGGTTCCTCATTCTCTTCTCAGCTCTTCTTGACAATGTTCCCCCATGCAACGATTAATTACTCTAAGTGCTTCTCTGTTTCTAACTTGAAAAAGAAAGGCAATGGAGATGAATCTTTTGTTGCTTTATAACAAAATCACTTGTAAAAGATTGGAAACAATTATAAAACCGACCTATGGTTTTCTGGTTTTGGCTGTGTTTATAGTAGATGATCCTTTTTTTCAACCATTGATCTCACCCTGGGCATAAAAACCTGAACCGAAGAACCAAACCCGAACCGACCTGAAATCACCAGTTTGGTTTGGTTTTGGTTATTGCATAAATAGTCTTGAGAGCGTATTAGTTGTTTTTTTTGGGTCGACGTGAGAGTATTAGTTTATGTGAATTATATATAAGAATCGTATGTATTATGTATAGGCATGGTTCTAGTTTATAAAATTCAGACAGGTGTTTGGTTTGGTCTTTCTCTACTATAATGAGCCGTTCAGAATCTTCAGATGATGTGGCGTACGTCTCATGCACACACACTTGACGACGTCGTTTAGTAAGGAGAGCGTGACGGCCACAAGCTCTGTCCCTTTACCTTTCACAAATCTTGTTCCTTTCTTCATATACAAATATCTGTTTCTCTCTTCACTAAATCACCTCCACACACACATAGAGAGAGAGAGAGAGAGAGAGAGAGAGAGAGAGAGAGTTTCCGATGACTATCAGCATGAGCACATTTGGCGCGGGTCTATGTTACACGGGACAGCTTCCGTTGAGGCAAGTCACCGGAGAAAAGGGGAGGAAGCAGCAGAAAATGACGGTGGTGAGAGCTGAAGGCGGCGGAGGAGGAGGAATCAATCCCGAGATCAGAAAGAGCGAGGAGAAGGTGGTTGACGCCGTCGTCGTCACGGAGCTTTCCAAAAACATAACTCCCTATTGCAGGTATCTCATTTTTTATTTCAAAACAAAATAATAACAAACTTAGCTGCTCTTACCAATTGGAAGTTTTATACCATCTTATTAGTAAAACCATCATACGAGTTATGTATTAATATACCAATCCATATGTTTTTCCAAGGCCTCGCTCGTTAAAACTTCCTTTTGTGAGACTTTTGCTACTTAGGTTTTATAATCGAACAAATGTATGAATTGATATTTGTATGAATGTTACTTTTATGTATGGTAGGTGTTGGAGGTCGGGGACATTTCCATTGTGTGATGGGAGTCATGTGAAGCACAACAAAGCTAATGGAGATAACGTTGGCCCTCTCCTTCTCAAGAAACAGTAGTTTTTTTGTTTTCTTTTTAACTTCATGAATTAGTTTTTCTTCATTAATCTTTGAGGTGATGTATTAATATATACTCGTTCATATATATATATATATCATCTAGTATTGGGTTATGTGAAACAAAGTTTAGATTAATGTTTGATATTAGATAGTGTGTGATCCTTCCCTTCACTCAACTAGCTAGTTTTACAACAACTATCTACATGCTAATAGTAGAACGATTTAAATATATAGGATATCTAAAATCTTAAGATGAATTGAAAATTTGAAGGGGAAATTGATTACTAGCGTCCAAAACAAAGAAAAATTCTAACAAAGGAAGATTATAGTTCGTCCAAAATACTATTAGACAGATATTCAGTATTTTCTTAGCAAATCGTTTCTTTTTCTCAGTTCTAAGTATTTGTAATTTCACCGTACATTTACAAAGTTATGTTTGAGGATTTTATAAACTATCAACCCCAAACCGTACATTTACAAAGTTATGTTTGAGGATTTTATAAACTATGAACCCCAATGGCCAATGCTCTCCGTTCACTAGTCACTACTTGTAGTATTCGCTTTATTGTCTCTCAAAACCTAGCAGACAAAAATAAATAACCGGTTTTATCCGGTTTGTTCCGGTTACTTTGCAAATTGTACCGTTTCCGCTTCTCGGCGTCGTTCTCCCCTGAGACGAGTCAAGTTTTTTTTTTGTTTTTTCCTCTACGCTTCTCTTCTTTCTCCTTCTTTCCAGAATTTTCGCCATCTCCAACCCTACTCCAATTTGGATTAAATATAATCTTTAGCTTTCCTCCGTAATCTTCTTCACCAATCTTCCTTCTTTCCCTCGAATTCCTTCGATTGCTCCTTCAAGCTCCGTTCCCAGCAATGTCATGGTACCGAAGAACCAAACTCGTCTTCGATTCCCTGCGGCGCAATATAAACCCGAAGATTCTTCCTCGTCCTCATGTTCCCACGAGAATCAACCCAAATGGGTCTTCTAATCCCTCAGCTAAATTTTCTGGGTTCTCCTCAATTTCTTCGCGCGGAGTCGGGTTACGAGTACGACCATGGACATCTCTCGAGAAGACGAACACGATCGCGTATAATCCCTTCCTGAGCTTATCCAAGAGAAATTACTACGTCGATCGTTACCAGGTTCGTCATTTCAAGCCACGTGGACCCAGACGGTGGATTCAAAACCCTAGGACAGTGTGGACGGTGGTGCTGATTAGCTCCGGTGTTATCATCACTCTGTTTTTCGGCAACTTAGAGACGGTCCCTTACACAAAGAGGACGCATTTCGTGCTCTTGTCGAAATCCATGGAGAAGCGAATCGGAGAAACCCAATTTGATCAGATTAAAAAGACTTACAAGGGGAAAATCCTACCTGCGATTCACCCTGAGAGCATTAGGGTTAGATTGATAGCTAAGGAGATAATTGACGCGTTGCAGAGAGGTTTGAGTCATGAGCGTACGTGGAGTGATTTAGGGTATGCTTCAATGGATAGTACAATGAGAGGTAGTGATAAGGGAGTGAAGGAGACAGCATTGGCTTTGAGTGAAGGTGGTGATGAAGAGATGATGAGTTGGTCGAAAGATGATCAGATTCTTGATGATAAATGGATTCAACAAAGCAGGAAGAAAGATACAAAGTCAGCGAGCTCTCACCTCGAGGGGATAAACTGGGAGGTGCTTGTGGTTAACGAGCCTACGGTTAACGCGTTTTGCATGCCCGGTGGGAAGATTGTAGTGTTTACTGGTTTGCTTGAACATTTCAAGTCAGATGCTGAAGTTGCCACTGTGATTGGGCATGAGGTACAAACAAAACATTTGATCCTCTGCATTTATATAGGCAAACTGAACATTTGCAGGATAGACGAAGAATCATGAATTGCTGTTGATAGTTGTCATTTTGAATAATGTATCATGTTTCTGTGAAGCTCTTGCTAATCCGTGATTGAGTTAGGACAGTTACTATTGGAACGAAAGCAGGTTTTTTTGTTTGTTTTCTTGATTGTTTTGTTGTTTTGTTTATCTGGTTAGGTTGGTCATGCAGTGGCTCGGCATGTAGCTGAGGGAATAACAAAGAACTTATGGTTTGCAATACTTCAGCTTGTGCTTTATCAGTTTGTGATGCCCGATCTTGTGAACACCATGTCTGCTCTTTTCTTGAGGCTTCCTTTCTCCAGAAAGTACTTTCTTCTTCCTCTCCTCTCATCAACATCATAGAGTCTCTTTTTGCTGTCTCTCATTAGGAAAAGTTAGCTTTTTGATGAGATTTTAGGTTCAGTTTTGACATTATTTTGCAAATGATCAATGAATATATTGCGATAAAACTTGTAAGAACCTAATCATCTGTTGAAATATTAGAAGCTGTTGGTATAGTTAGCGGTTGTTGCTGTAGCTAATGATAGATATGTATGTGTTTGAGATAGAAAAACAAGTTCTGATTCATTCAAATTCGTATTCGTATGTGTGTTTGGTGTTGGTTCATCGCAGGATGGAGATAGAAGCCGATTACATCGGTTTGCTATTGCTCTCATCTGCAGGATACGACCCACGAATAGCTCCCAAAGTGTATGAGAAGCTGGGGAAGCTCGGGGGAGATGCAGCACTCGGGGAATATTTATCGACACATCCCTCGGGGAAGAAGAGATCACAGCTTTTGGCTCAAGCCCATGTCATGGAAGAAGCACTCATGATCTATAGAGAAGTCCAATCAGGTCGTGGCATTGAAGGATTTCTTTAGCCTTCCATTCCAGTCATTTTGCCTGAGTCTGTACAAAATTACTATTCAGTTTTTTTTTTCAAATTCCAAAAAAGAAGAGTCTGTTGTTAGTTATATTGCATCTATTGCACTTTTTCTTTTGGTCGTTAACTGTATATAACACGTACCTAGTCCCAATATTGATCCCTTTTTTTTGTCTATATGAAGAGACAATGTAAACATAGATGTCAATTTAATCGAATGCAAAGTAATCAATCTTATTCCATATAATATTATGGGGTTATCTAAATCAATGAAAAAAAAAAACATAAGTTAACAAAAGGTTGTACAAAAAAAAAATTTCTATACCAAACAAATTTCACAAAGTGGTACCAAATTCAAGCAAGACTACGAATTAACCCGCACAATATGCAGAGTAGTGTTTTCTAAATTATTTTTAAATTTTTATTTTATTTTTTTGGTTTTTTCAAAATTGATGGTAAATTTTTTTTAACAAAAAATATAAAGAAATAAAATTGGTGACAATTAGATAACAATACATTTATAAATATCACACAACTGATATTTATTATATATATATATCCATCGAATATTGTTTTGAACTAATGCGGTTTAATTATAAGTAGTTTTTCAATGTAAAAGTGATATGATATAACATATATATATATTTATATATATACCAACATGGATTATAATCTAAATATATATATTGATAAAATAATAATTTAATTGTGAATATTTAATTAAAGATCAAACTATTATTTTTAGTTAATGAATTCTATAATATGTGTTAATAATGATAATATCTTGGATTTTCAAAGTGGACAAACCATCAACTTAATCTATTTTACAATTTACTAAAATATTTTTTCGACCAACCCGTAAAAATATATAATTTAAATTTTGAAAATATATTTCAATTTTTTTATAAAAATAATTGAATTAATTTTTGAAAATGATACTAATTAATGATGAAAATACAAATGAAAAATATTGCAAAAGTATAAATAGATTTTTTCATATATATGGATTGATTATTTTTTAAAATAATAGAATATATTTTAATAAGTAAAGAAATTAAAAATATTTTTAATTTATATTTATATATATCAAAATAAATTTGTGAGTCTATATTTAACTATCTCTTACGGAGAAATATTTAATTGAATTTTATATATTTATAAAATTAATTTATGTAATTTCTTAAAATTAAAGATTTATTTTTATAATATTTTATAAATCAATGTTTATTTATGTAAAATATTTTGCAATATTTTATAAATAAAAGTTCATTTATCTAAATATTTACTCAAATAATAATATAGAGATAAGAGTATCATCCAATGACGCGAAAAAATCTCCATCGATATTCTAGGCAGGATTTTTTTAAAAATATATTAAAAGTCTAATAGGTAACCTTTCAATTGGAAATTAGTTGTAGATAAATCGGAAATTAGTTTTAGAATTTTTTTAGTTTGATTTAGATTTCTTTATTTATAAGTCATACATGTATAGTCAGTCTATCATATTTAAATCTATGCTACGACAAGTCAAAAATACAATCAAAACCGGACCTTATAAATTATGAATAAATATTTGTTCATTTAGGCAATTAATCTCACTTAATGTATTTATAAAAAAAAAAGTCTCACTCAATGTATCTATATCAATAAATATGGAAATTCTAAAAGTAGTTTCAACAAAAGGAAACAAAATTTCTAAAGCATTATCTGCTACTAATGTTTGAATATTGACTCCATTTAATTCTATGATTATATGTACGAATTCGAAGGATGGTGAATATACACGTGTAGTCAACATAATCATTAAACAATTTTTATGGTAATAAAAAATATTGTCACTTTTGAAAATTATTTGTAAATTCACCTATAAAAAGAACCACCAACTCTTAGTTTTTTTTTGACTAAGTAGGTTTCCAAAATATTTCATAGTAATTTACAAGTTAGAACTTTTGATCGAATGATGAGTTCTTCGAAACTTTATTTTGTTCTTCTTCTTCTCATCAACATTTCTCTCATCGTCAATGTTCAATCTTCTCGTGTTCAATCTCGTCGTAAGTCTTCTTCTTTTCATAAACTAAATAAATAATGTGCAAGTTTTCTAACTAATCAAAATTGATATATAATCTCCTTTGTGTCATCTCTTATGTGTTACTTTTTCAGTCATTTTTGGGCCATTTACTCATAATACCTTTTTTTTTTCGTTTTCTTTGTATATAGTTGAGGACTGTAGTATAGGAGTGTACCAGGTAGACAAGCCGAAACCATTACCAGACGGGACACCAGTCTTTCTTGTGGAGATAAACAACCAATGTGACTGGAAATGCAAAATCTCCCATATCCACATCAATTGCGGCAATTTCAGCTCTTTAACACCTGTTGACCCACACATCTTTAGACGTCTTAGCTACGATAACTGTCTCGTCAACGACGGCAAACCCTTGGCCTATGGAGCCTCTCTGACTTTTACTTACGCTAGTAGGATCCGATATTCTCTTCCTGTCTCTCAAGCTACTTGTCCTCATTGATCCGTTACAAACCCTAAACATTTGTTTTTTATTTGAATCAAATTTCAAACATGATGGTGTATAACCATTTATGAACTTTTGGTCAAACAACTATACCAAAGAGGCTTCCACACAAATTCGTATTAAAACTGAATCGAATTATATGAGCATATATTACATAAATATTTATCTGACCTAACCGAATCGAATTCAAACCAAAATAAAACACTGACCAAAATTGCATCAGACTGAATTACAAATAGTTATTTTCTAACCAATAGAACCTGAAAAATAAAAAAAGAAGCGTTTCTTAACAAAAAATAATTTAGGAATAATTGTTTTCCTCTTACGATTAGAATCACTTATTTGAGTTATGAACTATATAACCGCTAATAAAAAGATGGCGGTATTTTTTACAATAGTGTTTATATCCAAAAAGTGGTCAGCTTTTAAATTATATTTGGAAGAATTTATGAATAATAATACTCTCTTTTTTTTTTAATCTACGCAAACAACACAAATACAAACTAGTTAACACATAGTGCTTACCCATCAGATATTATTTACGTAAACTTGGTATTTCCTATTTAAAATTTTGAACTATTATAGGTATTTAGGCTCTTAACAAAAAAAGTGTATGTAAACCTGGTTGTACATGTACTTCTCTATATCTCAACGGAAATAAACAACACTAGCCATCGATAAAAAGATTTAAATCATAATGAAATTATTATAGGTATAGACTAATTAATACTCTTTATGTTCAGAATTATTTGATGTTTTATGAGGTATTTTTGTTCAGAATTATTTTATGTTCTCACTTTTCAATGTAAATTTAATAAAATTTTTTTTATCTTTTTTATTCTGCAGATTATCTTTTTATTAGTTGAATTGTATTTAAATGAATTATAAATAATATTTTTAGTATAAAAAATTAAATAAATTTTTAATTTGTGTGCAAAAACCTTAAACATTTAGTAATTCTGAACAGAAAGAATATCATATAGTTTTAGACTGGATCTGTTAGATGTTGTGTCAGATTTCAACTATATAACATTTCGTTTGAAAGATTTTTTTAAGCAGAATCATTTTTGCCAAGTTATAAAAACTTGGTGTAAAGTGTACTGTTGTATTATTATTATTATTATTATTTTGCTTAAGCTAGCTATGGCTGTCATTAGAATTTATAAAGTTGAAACTAAGAAATTTTAATAAGTTTTAAAAACAATCATTAAGAGAGTCTTAATCGACAATGGTGAACAGTAATTAGCCATGTGCTTTGTTGTATGAGACTAGATTACAGAGCCGTTTTTTAGCACTTGCAAGTGTAGGAGTTGAACATAGTTTTTTAGCAATTATATGTGTTTTGGGGATTTTTAGTCCTTTTAGAAAAAAGTTTCCTATAAAACAACGAAAGACATAAAGGTTTAGAAAACATGATGGAAGTATGTTTTTCGATGGCTCTCCGACGCTTAAGTCAGGAAATGATTTAAAAAAAAGACCATAAAAATCGGAGAGATGGAAAGAAATCGAAAAACAGAAATGAAAAGCGGGCCGAAAGCTCTTGAGAATAAGAAAGTCTACTCGAGCCTAAGTTTAGTGGGATTTTTAAGGCTGAAAAGAAAAGAAATGTAAGAGTTTGTTGGTGGAAATGCTCTACGGTTTATGAACCGCAATGCAGTGAAAGTGAGAAAATGATCAGGATGATGACCAGAAAATAAGAGTGCTAAGCCTTGTAAGTCATGAGTATCTAAAGAGATAGCATGATCTCAAAAGTAGCAAAAAAATTGAACCCCTTTCTCATTAGAAAGGATTAAGTATTTATAGAGTTTTACCTGACCCAGATTAGTATACCAAGTTGGACTTTGGGTTGTTGGTTTTGTGGGTCAGTCTGGGATCCGGCTCGTTTGGCTCTGAATCTTTCTGCTTGCATCACGGTTATGACAGTATCACCAACTTTTTGGCGTCTACCACCTGCTACGAAACTGTTCCTTGGCGTGTCCTTTTCACCTTTAGTGTACGGGTCGGGTTCGGCGGTTCAGACACGGTATGGCCTTTGTTGAGCCTTTGTTTTTTTTCCTGCCTTATGCGAGTGGTCACTATCACCTGACAAGTATAAACATTGAGCATTAAATGCCAATTTTGATACTAGGACCGGACTGTCGGGATTGTCTCGCTGGCCTATTATCTCCTTCGGGTACGGGTTACTTTTCATTATATTTTGATACTTCCAAATCACTGAGCTTAGGTATAGAATATAGAGAATGCAACATCTATTCCTCGTGACCACTAAGTTCATGAACTCTTTGTACCTGACAGTGTGACATGCGCTGTCAAATACGAGAAATCTGAAATTATATGGTCTTTCGTACCGGATCTTCTTAATCCGAAAAGTTTGAGATCTGTTGCTATATGCTTATGTCGTATTAAACCGCAAACCTATTACAAAACTTAATTTGGCTCAAAAGTGTCATACCTACAAAAAAAACTATATACACTACATGCAAACACGTGATTTGTATTTAATTGTTCTCTAACAATATGAATCGGGCCCATATTTTAGAAAAAAAAATTACAATATTAAATATACGTTTAACAAAAATTTGAATAAGGACTACCACTAATTTTAAATTGCCCTGGATTATGTGGCTTATTGCATGTTTTTTTTTCTTTTAATTGCATGTTGACTATA